AGGAAATAAAGACTACTACTACTACTACTACTACTACTACTACTACTACTACTATTCGTAATTGTTTGCCGACCCTATGAAGAATAAATTCATGTCTCTTTCTTGCTCTTCACTGAAAGGCCATTTTGTGAGTACCTTCACATTGTAGAACGTCAAGTGCATCTTAGTTCGAAAACTTGGGGAAAATTCTCCCATGGGTATTCCTTTGATTGATAGCCCCTAACGCTATGCTGAATGATAAAAAATCGGAATATTGCCCGCTAGGAACTAGGCCTTATACATGAGTAAACACGACATTCTTATTTACGATCCTACGTAAAAAAGCCCGGGCCATGCCCATTTTCAAATTTGTGCTCACTTTTTTAAAAAAGGCTTTTATAAAATTACTTTAACAAGAAATATTTACTTTTTTCGGTCCCGCGTGTGTTTTCCTCAACAAAAAAATATGGTTAAAAATACTAATCTATCTAGTCCTTTTTTTTGAAATCACACCCAGTTCTGTCCTAAAATCTCTATTAATACTTTTAACTATAGGGTAAACGAGCTTTGTTGCATTACTTTCCAGCCTTCGGTTTCTACGTGTTTAAAATCGCTCCTGTTCGCGGCTCCAGTACCAACAACGTGGTCGATGCCATTTTAGTTATCTTTGAGAGCGGGAACTGGGCACGAGTTCTTAGGTCGATCGAAAGAGTAAGTTTCGAGAGTTATTGGCTCTATTTTCAAGAGGTTGTTACTCTGTAAACGTTCTTTAGTTTCCGGGTCAAAAACCTTACTTTATAGACAACGTGTGAAACATGATCAAATAAAGCCACTACAAATGTAATTAGAAAACAATTGATGCCGGCGAATTGTTCGCAGTGTGAATGTAAAGGCGAGGCCGGGAACGCTGGATATCCGAGTACAAATTATTTCTTTACATAGAACTTAAGGGACACAAAAAAAAGATAAAAATCTCCCCGTGAAAGATGCAAAGTAAGGTAAAGCTTTATTCATACCATCGTCCACATTTTTAAGGTCAGGTTACCGTTACATCATCTATAGTGTTTACCAGGCCGTAAACTGCCGCTTTACAAGCTCTGAGCTAAAACATCTAAAATAAGCTTAGGAGCTTTTCTTACATTTCTCGTTTTTGACATTTAAAATAACATCAATCATCAGGCTTGTGTATTGATACTTTCGGAGGGTAGTCAGTTTTGGAACTTGACCGTAAACGATACTTTGCTCGAAAAAAAAAAATGACCGAATGAAATTTTGAACCTTGACCCTAGTTTTTTTTTGGGGGGAGGATGGGTTAAATATGTTCTAAAAGCCAAATGTAAAGTAGAGCAGGCCTTTTGTCTAATGTTTGCCGATTTTGTTTGATTTTCTGTCAGTTACGTCCCGACTAACCGAGAAACTTATAGAGCCTGGAAACCAGTCAACCGCTCGGCTTGAACTCTGACTTCCATGCTCGGATTTCCTTTGCCATCGTGTCGCATACCGGCTCAACTTGAATTTTCCACTGGCTAAAGGCTAAATCCGAAACGTCTGTATTATAGTGTTTTGGCACTTTGTGTTCAAAAATAGCTGAACTAATTGTAGAATCTATTCAAGTGCTCTTATATAAAGAAGAACCTGCTTGATCGTAAAAGGAAATAGTTCATGATAAACGAAGAAGTATTTTGAATGAAAAATATTGCTTTTATGCCAGTCACATTATCAGACAAGAATTCAGTGAAATTGTGAAAGACGCTGCCGGAAGATATTGTGGGAAAAAGAAAATGAAAGAAATTAAGAAAAAAAGAAAAGAAAAAATGCGTTTTGCAGGACTCATTTTGCATCAATTTCAAGGGATGTCAGACGCCGATTCCGTTCATGTTAACTAGAGTGAAATAAAATCCATGGGGATTTTCGGATTTTGAATGATAAAATTTGTGTATAGTGAAGTCATTAAAAATGTTTCAGCAGGTTATCCTCAAGCTGCAAAAACGCCTCCGCAGTTTTAAATAGACTATGCATGTTTATAATCAAAAGGAAGTCATTTCTTTCACTTACCTTTTACATAAAGCAGCTGTTTAATTGAGTCCAGTCTATTTCGATTAGTTTAATTTATTTTTTGTTTGTTTGCATTTTCCCCCAACTAATCGTCCTTACAATGGTACTTAACATTCATCGAAGAAATTGCCTAGTTTGCCATGCGCGTTACACCTCGCTTGACTGATTTCATTTACAAACCGCAGATATCAAACTTCTGAAAGATCGAAAACTTCAAGGATCGGCAGTTTTCAAAACCCCAATTGCAATCCGTTTCAATCTTATTTAGTTTTGCCCATCCGTGGCATCTTGTGTATTTGCTGTGTTATTGAAACCCTCGGTCAATGTTTTAAGCATTTATTTATACAACTTTGCTCGATCTGCTTGCTAGGTCCTAGTCAGTCGCTGAATTAAGCGTGATTTCGTGGCACTACTCAAACCAAAAACGAGAGATCTCGTCGCCTATTCCAAGAGGCAATGCACTTCAGTGCGTAAGCTCGGGAAACCACAGTATTGTAAGGTTTATTTTTACACTTCTTTCAACATAAACAACAATTATGATAATGAAATATTTATGGTAATTTAACATTTCATTGAAGGCCCACTTGAGATGAACGACTTCCAAAATGGCTCAATATATCTTAAAATACAGTAACTAGGGCATATCTTGGTAAATCGAGTTCAGTCGGTGGCAGTATTTTCCAAGGGCCAAGGTTAATTTTATCCGTTACGCTCGACAAGGCATCCGAAAACTTTAGATTGTTTAAAAAAGCACCGAGTTTTCTTTGAACCAAAAGTCTGGGACCAAGGTCCAATCTTGGGTTTAACAAACCGCAATAGAGCATTTATTGGCCAAGGGTCAATTATGTAAAATACCGAACAAACGATCTCTGCACCCTCTGAAAATGACACATTTGTTGCTGGTCATTTGTAAATCTTCAAGTATATCATGAAAATATTTTTAAAATGAACTGAATTAATTCTTAAAAGCGAAAAAAATTGTGGGCAAATTTCCGAAAAGTTGAAAAGGGTGTACCCTTGTATCCCTCGATTTGTGTTTTCGCTATCTCGTCTTCTGTCCCTGAGGCAACTGATTAGGTCCGGAATTAACGTAATCCTTGATTAACACCTTGAACTGACCTTTTACTAAGGCATTAAACTTATTGTGGGATTTGAAGTAAGGCCACTCGGTTTGCCTTTGAACAATTCAAGACCTACAGAATTCAATGAAGAGCGAAATTGGACTGAGGAAGATTCGGCTGCCGCGCGCGGGGAGGTGAAAATCTGTGCTGGTTGCACGTACAAAATGTGCCAGTCGAGGCTAGAATTTTCCTCTCATTCGGAGATCTAATGGAAAGCGAAACGAGTCGCGTCGTGTTTCTAAAACGGAGACTTCGTTCTTTGACCGATAAGGAGTTGAAGTAGGTTTCATATCACTCGAGTCACATCATTTTCCTGTCATTGGCAACAGCACTTATGTTTCTTGAAGGAATAGAACTGATTTGTTGAGAAACTCAACGATAGGGGAGTTTATATAAAGGCGGGTTATAATAACTGAAATAGGGATTTATAATTTAAGAACTACTTGCTTTTATAAACCCGTGTTCTGTGCATATAACACTCGCAGTTTGCCGTCCACATTTGCGTTAAGATATATATCTTGCAAATATGATATAACTGGCAAGGCGCGCGACGAAATTCGCTGGAACACATACATAAGTCTCTATTTTATATCTAGAAGGTTCAAATTTTATTTCCCTTTCTTTCAAACACAATATAATACATTACCATTCTGTCAAAATCAAACAAAGATTAAAAATTCAAATTTAAAACCAAGATTACAATTGCTTAAATAAGGCCACAGAAAAAATGACTGATCATATTCTTTTTAGTTCTGTGGTTCTTGAAACGCTGTATTTCCGAAAAATATTTTTGTTTTCCACTGCAGTCCATGGAAATTTAACTTGCGGTCTGTCGAGTCACCCGCACCATCTTTTGATAGGGGAATGAAATGCCCCTTCCCAACACCGTTGGTTTAATACAGTTATTTACAACCAGAATAAACGTTTTTAGTTAAATACATACTGTTCTTTAGACAGGCTCCCGGGAAAAAGCGTAGAAAAAACGGGAGAAGCTAACCGTGTACTTACCTCGCTCTGTGCCAACCAGGAATGAATAAAAAAACATCTGTTACACTGTGTTTTTTTACTCTCAGTCACAGTAGTTTTACATGTCAACGGAAAAGCACCCGTGAAAACACTGCACGTGCGTACTGTTTCTCTTGTTTCTTTGTGCAGCATTCATGAAGATATAAATTGTAACGATATAATCTTAGTTCTCTAGATTTACGTTTTATTTTCTCCTCTGCGTCTTTCAGATCAGTTTGGAGCTGCGATTTCCAGAGATAATCGGCCGTCTTGAATTAAACTGTTAGAAACATTTACCCTCTGAATACATATTATCAGGGACCGTTCACGCGGTGTCCACGAGAGTAGTCACCAGTTTCGAGTCCTCTTGCTCGGTCAGGGAATGAACTCTGGACTCTGTTGCATCACCTGTTATCCTCAACAAAAAAACATGGGTGCAAAGATTATGGGCATTGTTGCGTAACGTTCGAAATACCGAAGATTTGTATGGGGGAAAATACGAGTGTATCTGTAACCCACGAATGTGAAAAGATTTTTGTATTTTACACTAGTTTTGTATAATTTTTGGTATGCTGGAAGGTTTATTTCGGGTATTTTGGTATTCCACTACCCCACTAGCCGGCCGACACTGATTCGATGGCGTACAGAAACAAAAGCAAAGAAGTTTCTCGACGACGTACGTTAACCGGAAGTGAGGCACTTTCCGTTTTAACATAGCTTTCCCAGTAATACCTTTTAGCAGACTCTCACGAAATTATATACCCTGTTTAGGACAGACTAACACGGAATTATATACTTTGTTGGGGACAGAGGTCATAAAGCATGCCCTGTCCAGTGACACATCCCCGAGTGGGCTATGTGAGGGAGTCCCCCCTCCCCGGGGAGTCGTCCCTCCTCATCTCATGCACAGGCTGGGTATCCCAATAAAAATAGCAAAGGAGAGAGTCGAAATAGCCGATTCAATGCATTGTACCACAAGGCTGCCTCTGATAACCGAGTTTTTTAAATATTATTTGTGATTACTTGCCCTAAAAGAGTGTCCAAATGCCGTATGCTAATCAATTTAGTCTCAGAGCAGGACTATAACGGGAACAAAGCTTAAAAAGTTTGGGTAACGCAACTATTGTGTCTCGTCACTCTTGTCACGCGACGCATTTCCAAAGAAGAGGGTAGCAGATGTGGACTTACAAGTAAGTTTTTGCGGAGACCTTTTTGAGCTTGAATCTGTTTTAGCAAGTCGAACTATTAAGCCGGCAGTGAAGCAGTGATAAAAAAAAAATGATAAAATAACAAGAACATGGCATATATCATAAAAATAGCGCCGAATATACAGCAAAAGGTTTTAGTGTTTACTCATGTCAGGGGGGGTCCAACACGTCCAAATATTTCAGAGGATTGTCGAACTGGGAAAGCATGAAAAAAATTCTCACTTACTTGATTAATTCTGCCCTTCGGTAAATGCCATGGTCAAAGGAAACCATGTTTTTAAGTTGTTGCTCGGTACTTTGACTCACTGGAAAGTCACTCTTTGAGCAGCTTGGGACCATGCTCCGCATTGGGGAAAAAAGGGGGAAAAATAGGCGAGTGAAGCGAGCCAAGAGGTTATGTATGGAGGGGAAAGACCAAACTCGTCCCCAGGGCGCTTTTCCCAAAGCCAGGGAAAAGTGCCCTGTGGACGAGGTTGGGGAAAGACCACCTCCCTAGACCACCGCTGGGCTCGCTTCGCTCGCCAATATTTTTTCCTATTGGACCTTTTCCCCCTCCGCAGAGCCTGGTCCCAGGCTAGAGAATACCACGATTTGCACATGAAAAGTAGCAAGGTTTGTAACAAAACAAAGTCACCGCTAGCCTCGCTTTTATTCAGAGGCTAGGCCACTGAGCACACAACTGCAAAATGGCTTATTGCCCAGTCTACCAGCCAAACCCTCAATCCCCCTCCCCTACCCCTCTATTCAATGGTATGTTCAATGGTGGGAATAACAATGTGAGCATTTTCAGTTCCATAACGGGCGTACTAAAAAACAATAACTTCGTTATGAGAAGCAGTGTCCTGATACTAATTTTACTTAACAAGGTCGAAGGTCCAGCGAGACGTACAAAAAATAATAATAAAATAAAAGTGACACAATCAGTTTTTCAAAATTTTGTACACGAAGCCAAAGCCGTAACTTGGCATGTCTTCCCTGTTATAATAAGGGATTTTCTTGCCGGAGAGTTTTTCCCAGATTCCAGCTTCCTCTAGCTCCGTCATCTTTGGTTGGTAGTCATCTACTTCATTGTAACGCAGTGAAAAGCAGACGAGTCCACCTATGAACGATAAAAATATCCATTGAGCTATCAAGAATTAAGTGAGAAGTGGGTACCATACATGCAATCACTGTAACCATTTGGTCCCTGTTTCAAATGTTGGATAGCGCTATCCTTTGGATAGACTACGAGAAGTCCCCATTTTTCCTCAGAGAGACTAGAGCGAACGAAACGCGAGCGCGCGTGAAAATTTACCTACGCGAGAAAGGCGAGACGTCACGGTGGCGTGAGTTTCACGCGCGGTCGCGTTTGGCTCGCTCTACTATCGCTGAGGAAAAATGGGGACTACTCGTAGTCTATCCTTTGGATAAATCACTTTCCAGCTGTTATGTATTATGGAAATCGGTTGCGTTTTCCACTGGATGGATCGCCGAATGTAAAGGAATCCGCGGGATTCCGGAGCCGGGAAATGTTTGCTTGTTGAATCCCGAATCCTAGGTTGTGGAATCCGGAATATCGACAACTGTCGAGGAACGGGTAGTTGAGCAACCCAATAGGTTTTTCGGGGTCTGGGAATTGCCTTGTATGAAGGCTGGGATTCGGGATTTCAAAGTAAAATGGGAGCGAGATTCGGGCTATTTGCTCCTGCCACCTCAAAAAGAAACAAACACAAAATAAACCAATGTAAACAAGGCTTACCAGTCTTCACTATTCTAATCATCTCCACCAAAGCCTCAGGACGAACGTTAGCCTTTATCAGCGTTCCAGCAGAAATCAGAGCATCAAATTCTCCAGTTTCAAGCTCATCAATCTTCTTTTCTGTTAGGGGGCAGCAGATAAATCTCCTATATGGCACGCCTTTGTCTTTAGCTATATTCAGCATCTCTTGCGAGATATCTAACGCGTGGATGTCAGTGTAACCAAGTTTAAGAAGCTCTATTCCTATCGGCCCGGTTCCAGCTCCAGCATCGAGAATTTTCAGCTGAGTTTTCTTAACGTTGGGAAAGACTTCATTCACTGCAGTATCCAAGCACTCAGCGAGTGGCTTGTGGAAGCATGCGCCGGCTGCACCGATTTCCTGCGAAGAGATCATGCCATACTTAATCAATAAAATTTAAGTTCTTAGTCTTGATATGCAGTTAACGTCAGACTAACAAATTTCAGACCATACCTTGTTTTTAAGATGGTCCATATAAGAAGGAAAGAACCAAACGCATGATCAAGTCCGAGGAATGCAAAAAGGTGCTAACTTTACTATTGTCTGTATCGTAAAATTTGATGTTTAAACCAATCAGAAGTGTAATTTTCACTTCTGGTTGGTTTGAACATCAAATTTTACTAACACTTCGCAAAGCAGCATTTATATTAATCCCTTGTTTTCTAAACAACTTCCTTATAACAACTAAGTAACACAGAAATCCTATGTGAGGAACATGTAAAATTGTAAACTTTTCTTGGCTATTGTTTGCAATCTCTCATATGATTGGTCGAAATCTTTTTACACAAAAAAAATACCCTTTAAAATGAAGTTTAAATACAATATATTTCGTTAACGGCCTTTTTGTAGGTTTATGCATTCTCTGTGTGAAAATGAAAACATTTCTATGTGAGGTAAAAATTGTCAATGCTATTCACGCTCTTGACGTACCCAGATCTCACTCTGGCCGTGGGAAGTCTGATTACGACCGTGGTTACAAGATGAAAGTTTTTCCTTTTTCTTTGACTCTGCACAGCACAGTTGAAAAGAATACAGTTCGAAAGATTGAAGCTTGGTGCTGAAACGTTCTCTTCTGTCGTAAATATGCACCAGGGAACCGTGAGGGAAAATAATTGCGTTTTGACATTTATGTCGCTGAAAAAGGGACGTCTCTTTTCCGCACAAAAAGAAAAAGAAGCAGAAAAAATTTGACGACTGAACGCAGGCTGGCGATTATGTTACTATGCAAGATAGGCGAAAAAGGCTTACGGAAGTTTACGGGGAAAATGTGTGTACATTGTGTGTCCCACAAAACCCCTCACGGAGGGCACTTGTATTTTGGACCCCCCACTCCCCTGGAATTTCACCCCCCAGCCCCTGAGATTTTCGTGAATTTCTAACTTGGTTGGGTACCCCCTGGTAGTACACATTTTATAAAGCGATTAGCCTGCGTAGCAAGCGTAGCCGCGCGGAGTTCGTCAAAAAAGTTGGGACGAGAGCAAAATAAGAACAATGAAGGGTCTCGGGGGTGGATGAGAGAGGGAAACCCCTCCCCTTCTTCAATGTTTTTTGCTCTCGCTCCAACGTTCGCGTAATAATTCGATTGGAAACGTTTCCTACGCAGGCTATAAAGCAATGCACGTGTTTTTCGAGCGCAACTAACAAAACAGCAGTCGTTCAATAAATAAAACTTTCATCCTTGTTTTTAAAGTTAAACTGGTTTCCCCCATAATAAGCACGAAGAATTTCCGTTTATAATGGATTTAGTAAGTTACTAATATTGAATTGAATTCGATTTATAATGGCATTTGAAGCTTAATTAAAAACCAGTAGATGCAGAACGTATTTGATCAGCACTTTACTGCTAATGTTGTGAAGCGCTATTTCTATTCCCGCATAAGTTTCCCCTCCCCCTCCCCGCCTCTGTTTAAGCCCCTCCGTTTATAGGTCGTCCTAAAACTAGCCTGTCCAGAGACGAGCTATTTTACTTTTCTCGCGCTGTCGAATAACTTGAAAAAACAACTGACTGTAAAATAAGAAAATCGTCTGCGGACAGGCTACCGTGCCTGTGTACAGACGCCCCCTCCCCGCACAGACTAGTTATCCAAAACTGAACCCTAACTTTAAAGCAGTGTACGGTAATAGACCATTTTGCAGTTGTGGGCTTAGTATCCAAGCCTTTGAGTAAATGCGAGGCTTAGGTTAGGCATGTTTTGATACATACCCCTTTCCTTTCGTGAGGAAATAATGCTTAAAAATATTAGTTAGCACAAGCTGAACATAAATGATTTGCATCAAGCGGGAAAGGTTGTATCAAAACAAGGTCAACTCCAATCTCATTTCCACCTGTAACTGTAAAATGGACTATTAACCGGCCGTTGTGGCCAGTTGCCTAAAAATTATATATTGGACGTATACTGATCCGGCCAAAGCCAACAACTTCGGCAAGTGATTTATCTAACCATAGTTAATTGAGTGGAATGGTTATGAAACCCGTCAGACTCCTTTGTTATATGTTTTTGTGGACCTGAAAGTGCACAACGTTCAAAAGAATTCCTATCATTTTGATTGTATTGACCAATAAAAACGTTGCATTAATTTATTCCGTAACAATTTGCCAACAGAAAACAAAGGATTGTGCACTTTCACGGTGCTTTGAACATAAACTGCAGCACTGTTGTTTTTATCATTGATGTTTGCCGCTTTTCATAACCAGTCTCTTCTAATAACTATGATCTAACCTAATTATTATTGATACCTTGTCATAATCGACTGCCCATATATCGTAAACTTGGCGAACCTCGTCATGCGTAGAATCTTTGTGAATCTTATCATATGTATTTCCAAAGTACTTCCTGTACGAGGCTTCGTAAGTTTGGATCGCCATTCTGCAAAGACAAATGTGGAGTTAAAATAAATGAATACAGGTCTTACTGACTGGTCAACATGAAAATGGAAGAATTTTTTCGATTGTACCAGTCAATCGCAACCTAGAAAGGCACAGTTCAATCGTCGAACTTTTCATGTACCGAACCAAGGTCCTTCTATATACATGTATATAAGTACTTGAAAAGATCGAATCAATTAACTAGGTTAAGAGGCTAACATGAAAGTTTCGAGTTTATCGAGCAGCTTCGTTTCAATTGACAAACTTTGCATTTGCCGAATCTAATGCATAAATTATTTTAATTTATTTTGATTGGTAAGCAGTGTACATCGTTGTAGGATTCTTGCAATAGTTCTTTCTCCTTAGAAAACTGTTCGAGTAAGCTTGCAGAGTGCAGAGATTTCCCGCTACACGACTATACTAGTAATAGTTGACACTACAGCTCAGCTCAGCTCAGCTGCCCCCGTTCTGTATATTGTCGGTCAATAGTCTTGCTCGTTGTGTAGTTCTTTGAAATATACCGATTCATAATGAAGATTTTCACACAGATTCCATACAATAGGTGAGATAAATATAAGAAACACAAGGTTCCATGAACAGTTTCAGGTCGATTTCATACACAGCTTTGATCAAAACATTCTCAGTTTCGAGAATAGTTTACTCTAAACCATAAGAAAAGATTTAATTAGAAGTTGAATCTTTCGCTATTTCTCTCTCTCTCTTTTTACATTCAGTTCATTTTATTTGCCGGAAAGTAAGCCTTAGAAATTAAAAGGACGTTTGATCGATTCACGCTCGCGCATTCTAGTCTTATTTGAAACTTTATAACGAAGGACATCTGTGAGCAGGAAATAAGTCACACTGAAGTCAGCACAGAATTTGATTGTCGGCGAATTTCTGTAATCGTCCATCGTTGTGCTAGTGATAAGCTAGCCGTTGTTCACTCGTCTTGCTTGTTTGGGGCCGAGTCTTATTCCGGTCAAAGAGAGAGAAAAGAGTGTCTGGCAAGGTTTCCAATATAAATCAAAGATTTGTGAACTCGTGTCTTGCAAACTCTCCAAGTGCTTATATATACACAGTTAAACGCACCTCATAACCTCATCTGCACTTAACGAGTGTCTTTTGGTCCATAACTTTGGTCAGCAGTTCATGTATGAAAACTAGCTAGCATTTTTAGAAGTCATTACTGGAGTAAAATTAAAAGCTTCAAACGGATACGGACTGAAAGGAAACAGGGAACAATAACTATTGTCACTTTGCTAGTTCTATAAATAAACACTTCTGACTTGTGTAAGATTATTCAAACAAAAACCGAATGAAAACAAAGCATAATAAAATGGTGCTAGAACTTCAGAAATTATTCAAAAACAATTCAAAGCGAACATATACGAGAAAATTCTCTCTTCACATCTCTCAAGCCCGGTCTGGAATAAAATCATGCCCACCGCATCCCTTTCACGCTCTGGCAACTAAAAAAAGACAGTAGGTACGGCGCAAAGAGAACGGAACAGGAAAGAACGTTCTCTGCAAACTGGACAGTCATTGCTTTTTCTCAAAATCGGTTTATCATTCCTTGAAGCGTCGGCGTAAGATTTTAGCGCGAAGCGCCAAAGGATTTTGTGTCTTCTCTGCTCTAAGTCTTCCCTTCTCATTTCGCAACGCCCCTCACAAAAATCTGAGAGTGCAAGACCGGCTGCCAGGAATTATACTAACCGTGATTCCAAAGGTCTCTTTTCAAAATATCTTGGGTGAAATACATTGTAAACCGTGTTTACGAACACTCTAGTTACTAGAGTACGCATTACGAAATAGCACAAACAATAATGCAGAATAATGATAAATAAATAAAGATAAAATACAAAATTAACCACAAGAAATTCTGCCGGTCATGAAACAATTCCTTTAGCTCTTTCGAAATCTGTATCCGGCCGCTCAAAAAGATTTATGTTCGACAGAGGCGGTTTATAATTCTTCGTGTTAGTAGATGACCGCTCCATCTTTCGATAGAGAACTCCAATATTCACACAGAAAAGTATGAAATATTTTAGTCCAACAAGAAATCATAAATTACGACTAGCCAATGCTGGAAGGAAAATACGTCGTAGTTGAAGGGGCGCAAAGGGAATCTGTTAAGGTTACTAACCTGACAACGTTGCTTCCCGGCCGGCTGCGTATAGTACTTCGCTTCGCGCAAAAGAGGGAAGAAGTAAGTGAGGAAAAGTACTTTATATCAGTAATGAGCCCGTGAAACATTGTGAAATAACTGCACGTGATGAACTATTGTCATGTCCTGGTAGTCCACTCAGCATGACCGACGTGGCCTCGATTACACACCGTCCTAGAGTGTTTTTCCAGTCACGTTTCTCTTAGGTCCGGCCGCGAGGGAGACTACGTTTCTCTCCTCTTCGACCTCTTTCGTGAACGCCCACTTTCCGTGAGGGACCATTTTGTGAATACAGGTGTCTTCTGTTCCCGTCTTTCCGAAAACTTCTCATAATCAATCATACCA